AATGCATAAATGCTTTAAGGATAGTCCATCTAAATGCACGTAGTCTTAAGGAAAATTAGATATTTTAAGAGTTGAACTTGGATTTTATGATGTGATATGTCTAACCGAAACTTGGTTAACTTCCGATACAAATAACATTGATATAAAAAATCCTGGCTTTCATCTACCTTTCCGTAAAGACAGACAAACTCGCGGTGGCGGTGTAGCAGTCTATGTAAAAGATACTATTTGTGCGTTGTTGATGTCTGATTTAGACATAGTCGGACTTGAGGCGATATGGATACAGACTAAATGTAAAACAAGAAACTACCTGATTGGAACTGTTTATCGCGCCGACAAGAGCTCCGAATATTGGAATTTGATCGATGAATCAATAGGTAACGCAGTTGATCTTAATATGCAGACAATTATAACCGATGATTTCAATATGGACGTTCTTCATGGCAATAATCAAAAGATAGACTTTATACAAAGTTACTACGGCCTTCAACAAATAATCACGGATGCTACTAGAATAACCGCAAGTAGTAAAACTTTGATCGATTTGATATTTGTTCTCGCGTCGACGTTGTTAAAGATTCTGGTGTATTAGATCCCATATGCAGCGATCACTGCCCCGTATTTGCTAACATAGCAGAAATGATGCAGCACAAGAATTCATTCAAAAGGAAAATCTATAATTATTCTTCAATGGATGTTAATGGTATGAATGAAACCATCAAAGAGATAAACTCAGAGATATTTTTCTCTTCGGGGAACGTAGATAATATCACTGAAAACTTTACATCCTTGTTATTGAATATCATGAATAAATATATTCCAAATATAACTGTAACAATTAGAACCAAAGATCCCGCGTGGATGAATAACGAAATCCGATCCTTAATAAGAAAATGAAATCGTGTTCATAAGATTGCAAAAAACAGAAACCTTCCTGATGATTGGACTAAGTTCAGAACACTTCGGAACAAAGTAATAGCAACAGTTAAAAATGCAAAACGTGCTTTTGATGCAAGAGTTGATGAAACTATAAATAACACTCATGGTACTAAAATGTGGTGGCGATTAGTTAAGAATTATGGTAAAACAAATTCGATAAAATCGTCCTTTCCATCAATTGTCAGCAATAACATAGTTTATGTCAATGAACAAGATATTGCTGATGTACTCAACTCATTTTTCTCAGAACAATCCCAAGCTGCTGGTCCTAACGCCGATCTGCCTGATTTCGAACCGCGTGAAATCAATCATCCTATGTCATCTATCACAATAAGTAATGGAGATGTTCACGATATTCTTCTGAGTCTAGATACATCGAAAGCCACGGGGCCTGATGGCATTGGAAATATCATACTGATACTAACTGCAACCTCCTTGACCCCGTTGTTAGCTAAGTTGCTCAACATCTCCCTTCGTAATAAAACGTATCCTACTTCTTGGAAACTAGCTTCGGTGATTCCGCTTCATAAGAAAGGTGATGAACACGATTGCTCAAACTATAGACCTGTAGCGTTAACAAGCTGTGTCGCTAAAGTTTTTGAAAGATGCATTTTTAAATACGTCTTCAACTTCCTCAGGGATAATAATATTTTATCAAACTTACAATCCGGATTTATGCCTGGTGATTCTACAGTAAATCAACTAACTTATCTTTATAATTTTATCGCAAGTGCCGTAGACCAAGGAAATGAAATCAGAGCGGTAATCTGTGATGTAAGTAAAGCCTTTGACAAAGTTTGGCACAAAGGTATTATTCATAAACTTTACGCTTATGGTATACAGGGAGAACTTTTGGAGTGGTTTGAAAGTTATTTAGATAGTAGAATGCAGAAAGTGGTAATAAAGGGATATAGTTCAGGTATCAAATCTGTGGAAGCTGGTGTACCCCAGGGTTCCGTATTAGGACCACTTTTGTTCATCATGTATATTAATGACATTGTAGATAGTATAGACAGTAACATTCGCCTTTTTTCTGATGATACATCAATATATGCTATAATAGATGATCATATTACAGCAGCCGCAATTATAAACAATGATTTGGCAAAGATTTCAGACTGGGCCAGAAAGTGGCAGGTAAGTTTTAATCCTAGTAAGACTGAGAGTATAACATTCACTCGTAAAACGAAAAATTATGCCAGGCCGAACTTACTAATAACTGGCGAAACTATTAAAGAAGTTGATAACCATAAACACTTAGGTATAACACTTCAAAGCGATTGTTCTTGGAAAGTTCATATAGGTGACATGGTAAAGAAAATTAGTCCAATGATCAATTGTCTGAGAAGTTTGAAATATCGTTTATCTCGGAAAACGCTACATACTTTATATAACTCCTTTATCTTACCACTTTTTTATTACTGCTGTCAAATATGGGATAATTGTACGATTGAACAGGCGATTTTACTGGAAAATTTACACTTAGACGCATTAAGAACTATATGCGGTGCGGTTCGTGGCACCAGTCATGATAAAATATACAAGGAAACTAATTATAGCACACTGAAACAAAGACGATATCGCTCTAAACTTATAACTTTCTATAAAATGTATCATCGTCTGACTCCTGATTATCTGAATGATCTTGTACCAGGTAGAGTATTTCAACAAAGCAACTATAATCTTAGAGACAGTACTTCCATTCAAACTACTAACTGTAGAACCCAAAGATATTCTCAGTCATTTTTACCGAGCGCGATTATGTCGTGGAATTCATTGCCCGATGGAGCTGTTAACGCTATTTCCGTGAGGCAGTTTAAAACCATGATAAATCCAACAGAAACTGACAACTACTTTGATTTAAATTTTGGGACTAGATTTTGTAAAATCATCCATTGTCGCCTCAAGCTCGGCTGTAGTGATCTGAACGCAGACAGATATAATCGACATATATCAGAAACAGCTAAGTGTTCATGTGGTCATTATAACGAAGACGTCATTCACTACCTTTTTACATGTCGGAACTATCAAAATTTAAGAACAACGGTGTATTTTTATATTCAAGGATACGATGTGAAAACTACCTTATACGGTAACGGCGCATTGGATAACTCAACAAATTGTGACATTCTAAACTCACTACACCAGTTCGATTTCATTTCTAGAAGTAAGCGCTTCCAGTGATTATCACCTCTACATATACATGTATATTCAATGTAAGACAAGATTTATATAACTTGATTTTCTGCGGCAGCTCTTTTCGTTGCTAGGCACCACCAACACCATAACCAAATATTTATTATTCAATCATTTTTCTGAGTGTAATTTTATTTCAGAAGTATTCTTTTCTTGTCGGACTATTTCAAATATGTATCCAGCTATATTGGAACCGTGTACTGGAGCGGCGTTTATATAAGCCACTTGGCTTGTTCGCCTATCCAGGTTTCTGTATTGACGGAATAAAAATATGTTTAAACCATAAACCTAACCCTAGCTCGTACCCGTAACCCTAGCTCTAACCCTAAGGACTCAAAATAGGCCCAAAACGGGCCCAAATAAGTGCCAAACATGCGTTTTTGTGCGCTTCCCACATCCGCCCAGCACCCCCGCACATGCCCAAAGTCAAACCGCATCCCTCCCGAAACTCCTGCCACCCGCGTCATACTAAGCGCCGTGGACTTAGGCAGAAAACGCTAACCCGGCTTACCCGCCGCTGGATTCAAAATAGGCCCTGGATCCATAAACACCTGGCGTCATTACTACATGATAATCCATAAACACCTGGCGTCATTACTACATGATGATCCATAAACACCTGGCGTCACTACTACATGATGATCAATCCATAAACACCTGGCGTCATTACTACATGATGATCTATAAACACCTGGCGTCATTACTACATGATGATCAATAAACACCTGGCGTCACTACTACATGATGATCTATAAACACCTGGCGTCATTACTACATGATGATCTATAAACACCTGGCGTCATTACTACATGATGATCTATAAACACCTGGCGTCATTACTACATGATGATCTATAAACACCTGGCGTCATGATGATCTATAAACACCTGGCGTCATACTACATGATGATCTATAAACACCTGGCGTCATTACTACATGATGATCTATAAACACCTGGCGTCATTACTACATGATGATCTATAAACACCTGGCGTCATTACTACATGATGATCCATAAACACCTGGCGTCACTACTACATGATGATCTATAAACACCTGGCGTCATTACTACATGATGATCTATAAACACCTGGGGTCACTACTACATGATGATCTATAAACACCTGGCGTCATTACTACATGATGATCAATAAACACCTGGCGTCATTACTACATGATGATCAATAAACACCTGGCGTCATTACTACATGATGATCAATAAACACCTGGCGTCATTACTACATGATGATCAATAAACACCTGGCGTCATTACTACATGATGATCTATAAACACCTGGCGTCACTACTACACGATGATCCATAAACACCTGGCGTCATTACTACATGATGATCCATAAACACCTGGCGTCACTACTACATGATGATCCATAAACACCTGGCATCATTACTACATGATGATCTATAAACACCTGGTGTCACTACTACACGATGATCCATAAACACCTGGCGTCACTACTACATGATGATCCATAAACACCTGGCGTCATTACTACATGATGATCCATAAACACCTGGCGTCACTACTACATGATGATCCATAAACACCTGGCATCATTACTACATGATGATCTATAAACACCTGGTGTCACTACTACACGATGATCCATAAACACCTGGCGTCACTACTACATGATGATCCATAAACACCTGGCATCATTACTACATGATGATCTATAAACACCTGGTGTCACTACTACACGATGATCCATAAACACCTGGCATCATTACTACATGATGATCTATAAACACCTAGCATCCTTTCTGCATGATGATCCATAAACACATGGTCAGTTAAGTTTGAATCGCCGCACATTTGAATCTGTTGAGATTTTTATGATAAGGTGAACGGTTTTGATGCTTTTATTCAGATATATGTCTTTGTGAGATACATATAATTCCTTCTTGAAAGGCTAAGCTAACGGGTGTAATGCCCACCGTTCCCCACGTAACAGCACACAGGCCTCGGCCTATCAGGTGGAGGTAACTGTGAGGTACAGTTGACACTCTGAATACTGACTTGCTGAAGGACATACAACTTGCATGAACGTGTTGTACACGGAGTCATCTTCATGTTACTGTTTATTGGCTGTCAACATGGCCAGCGACGATATCATAGCATCAGCGTCAAGATTGTACACCAGCCAGCCGTCTTTCTTACACATATCCACAGCTCCCAACTTCTTGTAGAACTTGATTGCATTTGTGTTCCAATCATGGACCACCCACTGCACCTTCCTGCACCCCTTCTCCATGGCAACCTGAAGAACGAAGAACACATTAGGATTTCAAGTCAAGCACGTTCCTCTACTATACGTGCTGTGACGGATCAAACAAGTTCCTATACTATACGTGCTGTGACGAATCAAACACGTTCCTCTACTATACGTGCTGTGACGGGTCAAACACGTTCCTATACTATACGTGCTGTGACGGGTCAAACACGTTCCTATACTATACGTGCTGTGACGGATCAAACACGTTCCTCTACTATACGTGCTGTGACGGGTCAAACACGTTCCTATACTATACGTGCTGTGACAGATCAAACACGTTCCTATACTATACGTGTTGTGACGGATCAAACACGTTCCCATACTATACGTGCTGTGACGGATCAAACACATTCCTCTACTATGAGTGCTGTGACGGATCAAACACGTTCCTCTACTATACGTGCTGTGACGGATCAAAACGCACGTTCCTCTACTATACGTGCTGTGACGGATCAAACACGTTCCTCTACTATGCGTGCTGTGACGGATCAAACACATTCCTATACTATACTTGCTGTGACGGATCAAACACGTTCCTATACTATACGTGCTGTGACGGATCAAACACGTTCCTATACTATACGTGCTGTGACGGATCAAACACGTTCCTCTACTATACGTACTGTGACGGATCAAACACTTTCCTATACTATACGTGCTGTGACGGATCAAACACGTTCCTCTACTATACGTGCTGAGACGGATCAAACACATTCCAATACTATACGTGCTGTGACGGATCAAACACGTTCTTCTACTATATACGTGCTGTGACGGATCAAACACGTTCCTATACTATATACGTGCTGTGATCTTAATCAAACACGCCCTCTACTATAACGTGCTGTGACGGATCAAACACGTTCTTCTACTATACGTGCTGTGACGGATCAAACACTTTCCTATACTATACGTGCTGTGACGGATCAACACGTTCCTCTACTATACGTGCTGTGACGGATCAAACACGTTCTTCTACTATACGTGCTGTGACGGATCAAACACGTTCCTCTACTATGCGTGCTGTGACGGATCAAACACATTCCAATACTATACGTGCTGTGACGGATCAAACACGTTCTTCTACTATACGTGCTGTGACGGATCAAACACGTTCCTATACTATACGTGCTGTGACGAATCAAACACGTCCCTACTATACGGATCAAATGCGTCTACTATCGTGCTGTGACGGATCAAACACGTTCTTCTACTATACGTGCTGTGACGGATCAAACACGTTCCTCTACTATGCGTGCTGTGACGGATCAAACACATTCCTATACTATACGTGCTGTGACGGATCAAACACGTTCCTATACTATACGTGCTGTGACGGATCAAACACGTTCCTATACTATACGTGCTGTGACGGATCAAACACGTTCTTCTACTATACGTGCTGTGACGGATCAAACACGTTCCTATACTATACGTGCTGTGACGGATCAAACACGTCCCTCTACTATACGTGCTGTGACGGATCAAACACGTTCTTCTACTATACGTGCTGTGACGGATCAAACACGTGCCTCTACTATGCGTGCTGTGACGGATCAAACACATTCCTATACTATACGTGCTGTGACGGATCAAACACGTTCCTATACTATACGTGCTGTGAAGGATCAAACACGTCCCTCTACTATACGTGCTGTGACGGATCAAACGCGTTCTTCGACTATACGTGTTGTGACGGATCAAACACGTTCCTCTACTATGCGTGCTGTGACGGATCAAACACATTCTTCTACTATACGTGCTGTGACGGATCAAACACGTTCCTCTACTATATAATGCTGCTGAGATGGATCAAAAACGTTCCTATACTATATGCGTGCTGTGACGGATCAAACACGTTCCTATATTAAACGTGCTGTGACGGATCAAACACGTTCCTCTACTATAAGTACTGTGACGGATCAAACACTTTCCAATACTATACGTGCTGTGACGGATCAAACACGTTCCTCTACTATATGTGCTGTGACGGATCAAACACGTTCTCTCTACTATCGCGCTGTGACGGATCAAACACGTTCTTCTACTATCGTGCTGTGACGGATCAAACACGTTCCTATACTATACGTGCTGTGACGGATCAAACACGTTCCTATACTATACGCGTGCTGTGACGGATCAAACACGTTCTTCTACTATACGCATTCTGTGACGGATCAAACACGTTCCTATACTATACGTGCTGTGACGGATCAAACACGTTCTTCTACTATAATCGCACTGTGACGGATCAAACACGTTCTTCTCCTATACTATACGTGCTGTGACGGATCAAACACGTCCCTCTACTATACGTGCTGTGACGGATCAAACACGTTCTTCTACTATATGCGTGCTGTGACGGATCAAACACGCCTCTACTATGCGTGCTGTGACGGATCAAACACATTCCTATACTATGCGCTGCTGTGACGGATCAAACACGTTCCTATACTATACGTGCTGTGACGGATCAAACACGTCCCTCTACTATACGTGCTGTGACGGATCAAACGCGTTCTTCGACTATACATGTTGTGACGGATCAAACACGTTCCTCTACTATGCGTGATGTGACGGATCAAACACATTCTTCTACTATACGTGCTGTGACGGATCAAACACGTTCCTCTACTATACGTGCTGTGATGGATCAAAAACGTTCCTATACTATACGTGCTGTGACGGATCAAACACGTTCCTATATTAAACGTGCTGTGACGGATCAAACACGTTCCTCTACTATAAGTACTGTGACGGATCAAACACTTTCCAATACTATACGTGCTGTGACGGATCAAACACGTTCCTCTACTATACGTGCTGAGACGGATCAAACACATTCCTATACTATACGTGGTGTGACGGATCAAACACGTTCTTCTACTATACGTACTGTGACGGATCAAACACGTTCCTATACTATCCGTGCTGTGACGAATCAAACACGTCCCTCTACTATACGTGCTGTGACGGATCAAACACGTTCCTCTACTATACGTGCTGTGACGGATCAAACACGTTCCTCTACTATGCGTGCTGTGACGGATCAAACACATTCCTATACTATACGTGCTGTGACGGATCAAACACGTTCCTATACTATACGTGCTGTGACGGATCAAACACGTTCTATACTATACGTGCTGTGACGGATCAAACACGTTCTTCTACTATACGTACTGTGACGGATCAAACACGTTCCTATACTATACGTGCTGTGACGGATCAAACACGTCCCTCTACTATACGTGCTGTGACGGATCAAACACGTTCTTCTACTATAATGCGTGCTGTGACGGATCAAACACGTGCCTCTACTATGCGTGCTGTGACGGATCAAACACATTCCTATACTATACGTGCTGTGACGGATCAAACACGTTCCTATACTATACGTGCTGTGACGGATCAAACACGTCCCTCTACTATACGTGCTGTGACGGATCAAACACGTTCTTCGACTATACGTGTTGTGACGGATCAAACACGTTCCTCTACTATGCGTGCTGTGACGGATCAAACACATTCTTCTACTATACGTGCTGTGACGGATCAAACACGTTCCTATACTATACGTGCTGTGACTGATCAAAAACGTTCCTATACTATACGTGCTGTGACGGATCAAACACGTTCCTATATTAAACGTGCTGTGACGGATCAAACACGTTCCTATACTATACGTGCTGTGACGGATCAAACACGTTCCTCTACTATACGTGCTGTGACGGATCAAACACGTTCCTCTACTATACGTGCTGTGACGGATCAAACACGTTCCTCTACTATACATGCTGTGACGGATCAAACACGTTCCTATACTATACGTGCTGTGACGGATCAAACATGTTCCTCTACTATACATGCTGTGACGGATCAAACACGTTCCTCTGCTATACGTGCTGTGACGGATCAAACACGTTCCTACGTGCTGTGACGGATCAAACACGTTCCTCTACTATACGTGCTGTGACGGATCAAACACGTTCCTCTGCTATACGTGCTGTGACGGATCAAACTCGTTCCTCTACTATAAGTGCTGTGACGGATCAAACACGTTCTTCTACTATACGTGCTGTGACGGATCAAACACTTTTCTCTGCTATACGTGCTGTGACGGATCAAACTCGTTCCTCTACTATCAAAGTTCCTCTACTATAAGTGCTGTGACGGATCAAACACGTGTCTCTACTATACGTGCTGTGATGGATCAAACAGGTTCCTTTGCTATACGTGCTGTGATGGATCAAACTCGTTCCTCTACTATAAGTGCTGTGACGGATCAAACTCGTTCCTCTACTATACGTGCTGTGACAGATCAAACACGTTCCTCTACTATGCGTGCTGTGACGGATCAAACACACTCTTCTACTATACGTGCTGTGACGGATCTAACTCGTTCCTCTACTATACGTGCAGTGACGGATCAAACACGTTCCTATACTATACGTGCTGTGACGGATCAAACACGTTCCTCTACTATACATGCTGTGACGAATCAAACACGTTCCTATACTATACGTGCTGTGACTGATCAAACACGCTCCTATACATGCTGTATCTATACTATATAACGTGCTGTGACGGATTAAACACGTTCCTATACTATACGTGCTGTGACGGATCAAACACGTTCCTATACTATAACGTGCTGTGACGGATCAAACACGTTCCTATACTATATGCGTGCTGTGACGGATCAAACACGTTCTTCTCTACTATACGTGCATGTGTGACGGATCAAACACGTTCCTATACTATACGTTCCTATACTGCTGTGACGGATCAAACACGTCCCTCTACTATCGCGTGCTGTGACGGATCAAACACGTTCTTCTACTACTACGTGCTGTGACGGATCAAACACGTTCCTCTACTATGTGTGCTGTGATGGATCAAACACATTCCTATACTATACGTGCTGTGACGGATCAAACACGTTCCTATACTATACGTGCTGTGACGGATCAAACACGTCCCTCTACTATACGTGCTGTGACGGATCAAACACGTTCTTCGACTATACGTGTTGTGACGGATCAAACACGTTCCTCTACTATACGTGCTGTGACGGATCAAACACATTCTTCTACTATACGTGCTGTGACGGATCAAACACGTTCCTCTACTATACGTGCTGTGACGGATCAAAAACGTTCCTATACTATACGTGCTGTGACGGATCAAACACGTTCCTATATTAAACGTGCTGTGACGGATCAAACACGTTCCTCTACTATACATGCTGTGACGGATCAAACACGTTCCTCTACTATACGTGCTGTGACGGATCAAACACGTTCCTCTACTATACGTGCTGTGACGGATCAAACACGTTCCTCTACTATACGTGCTGTGACGGATCAAACACGTTCCTATACTATACGTGCTGTGACGGATCAAACATGTTCCTCTACTATGCGTGCTGTGACGGATCAAACACGTTCCTCTGCTATACGTGCTGTGATGGATCAAACACGTTCCTCTACTATACGTGCTGTGATGGATCAAACATGTTCCTATACTATAAGTGCTGTGACGGATCAAACATGTTCCTCTACTATAAGTGCTGTGACGGATCAAACACGTTCTTCTACTATAAGTGCTGTGACGGATCAAACACTTTTCTCTGCTATACGTGCTGTGACGGATCAAACTCGTTCCTCTACTATAAGTGCTGTGACGGATCAAACACGTGTCTCTACTATACGTGCTGTGACGGATCAAACAGGTTCCTTTGCTATACGTGCTGTGATGGATCAAACTCGTTCCTCTACTATAAGTGCTGTGACGGATCAAACTCGTTCCTCTACTATACGTGCTGTGACGGATCAAACACGTTCCTATACTATACGTGCTGTGACGGATCAAACACGTTCCTATACTATACGTGCTGTGACGGATCAAACAAATAACGAGAGTGGATAGAACCAGAGATAAATCATCAAACCAGTCTGTTTTGTTCCATGAAATAATTATTAAGGTCTGCCATTCTATGAAGTGTCCTGGCTTGTGAGCACCACTGGGCTCCATGACATTATTCATTAGACACACTAAGATGAGTGATTGAGTTGTTTTTTTCTATTTTATTGTAGCTTTCACTGTCCTAGAACTATGCTCGTCTACTGACAAAAAGCACGCATAGAACGACGTATATTTTACAGAAGGTGGATTTTCAGCAGGGCTACCTTCCCATCAATTCAAATACATGAACACATTCAAGAGGCCAACTTCAGCCAAATCTGCTGCATGGAAACCATCCAGAGACCCACCTAAGCTACAACGTGATGAATGGATACATTCCAGACACCTACATAAGCCCAACGTATGCATGAATACATTATTGAGATCTACTTAAGCCGTAGACGTGTCAATGTTCTTTGGCGTCTATAACTTGGTTATGGTACTGACAAACCAAAGGTGGAATATATGTCAGGTAATTTTGGACCCAAACCCACGACGTAGGAACATGGTCGAAAGAACCACATTCTGCATAGCGAACCTTGGTGACAGGCGACTGGACCAAGAACACCTGACCATCACAAACTGACTGTGTGGGCAGGATCGTGGTATCACCGAATGTACCAGCGTGTGGTAAAACTTGCGTAACCGTTTATTACTTGCTCGCAATATTTGTGAGATACATTATGGATGCAGAAGTTTGGTGTGTGTGACATTACTGTCACCTTGGTTACATAGGCCCACAGTGCTGAGCCCGTTCCCCTCGTCCTGCCGGTTGGACGAACATAGATGTCCTCCACAACCATCATGCGGCCTGCGGAGGTGCAATACGCCCAGTAGTACAGCAGGTACCCGGTCAGTGCTGGTCTACCTAAAACACGTCCAAGTAGAACAATCAGTAAGTAATACGAAACTTCTACGAAGTGAAATACCACGGAGCTGTTGTGTTTATCATGGACGTAATCGTCAACATTAGAACTGTACATGAATATATTCATTGAATGATACTGTGTTGTGACCTCGGCCTCGGGATACTGGGATTACCTACATACACCATGCTATCTCTGTCATACATTTCAGTGTAGTTCTGCTCTGTTGCTCCCCAGTATACTCCCATCGCTGGGCAATCCCAAACATGGCATCACGAAACAACGTCACTTCATTACCAATGTCAGTTCTTCATACCGGAAGATGCAGCGCCACTGTTTCCTCAGTTTATATATAACCATATTCACCTCAGTCAGCTTCAATATGATCACACCACCGAAGTGGTTGTTTCATTTAATACATGCAAATTGACAAGAAGTGGTCCTGACGTTTCGTGACCCGTGGCATTCTACCATTAACTGAGCATGACGAGAAGCATTCTACCATTTACTGAGCATGACGAGAAGCATTCTACCATTAACTGAGCATGACGAGAAGCATTCTACCATTTACTGAGCATGACGAGAAGCATTCTACCATTTACTGAGCATGTCGAGAAGCATTCTACCATTTACTGAGCATGACGAGAAGCATTCTATCATTAACTGAGCATGACGAGAAGCATTCTACCATTTACTGAGCATGACGAGAAGCATTCTACCATTAACTGAGCATGACGAGAAGCATTCTACCATTTACTGAGCACGACGAGAAGCATTCTACCATTAACTGAGCATGACGAGAAGCATTCTACCATTTACTGAGCATGACGAGAAGCATTCTACCATTAACTGAGCATGACGAGAAGCATTCTACCATTAACTGAGCATGACGAGAAGCATTCTACCATTTACTGAGCATGACGAGAAGCATTTTACCATTAACTGAGCATGACGAGAAGCATTCTACCATTTACTGAGCATGACGAGAAGCATTCTACCATTTACTGAGCATGACGAGAAGCATTCTACCATTTACTGAGCATGACGAGAAGCATTCTACCATTTAACATGACGAGAAGCATGATTTACTGAGCAGCGAGAAGCATTCTACCATTTACTGAGCATGACGAGAAGCATTCTACCATTTACTGAGCATGACGAGAAGCATTCTACCATTTACTGAGCATGACGAGAAGCATTCTACCATTAACTGAGCATGACGAGAAGCATTCTACCATTTACTGAGCATGACGAGAAGCATTCTACCATTAACTGAGCATGACGAGAAGCATTCTACCATTTACTGAGCATGACGAGAAGCATTCTACCATTAACTGAGCATGACGAGAAGCATTCTACCATTTACTGAGCATGACGAGAAGCATTCTACCATTAACTGAGCATGACGAGAAGCATTCTACCATTTACTGAGCATGTCGAGAAGCATTCTACCATTTACTGAGCATGACGAGAAGCATTCTACCATTAACTGAGCATGACGAGAAGCATTCTACCATTTACTGAGCATGACGAGAAGCATTCTACCATTAACTGAGCATGACGAGAAGCATTCTACCATTTACTGAGCATGACGAGAAGCATTCTACCATTAACTGAGCATGACGAGAAGCATTCTACCATTTACTGAGCATGACGAGAAGCATTCTACCATTTACTGAGCATGACGAGAAGCATTCTACCATTTACTGAGAATGACGAGAAGCATTCTGCCATTTACTGAGCATGACGGGTGACAAGTATTTGGGTGACCGTCTTCATACATGACGGTGGATTAGATGACGTCATGACGTGTTTGTTCTAACATTTACATGGCATGGTTAACTCACCTTCTTGCAACGTTTTCTCTTCAGCCACGGCACAGTGAAAAAACTTGTCTTCGCCGAAACCATCTCTCCTCAGAGCTGAAAATGTACCTCAAGACATAAATGATTCCAAATTCCAAAGAAAATATTCTAAATGAAAAGAATATTATCCAGGGCAGCATCTTTTGTTTGGCTGACGATAATGTGCACCTCCCCTATCCTAAGTAGAATTGTACACCTCTGCCGACTCACAAAATCCGAGTGTATGACTGTGTATCATGAACAACAGACAATAAAGAAACTAATGAATTTTAGAACAATCTGTTTTATACACTCCCATAGCATTCTCTTCCCACAGAGGTTACTTGTCATATCTTCCTACGAACCTCTGTTCTAATACGGCCCTTTCATGGTGCGAGTGTTCAGGATTCGTGATTGGTTGCAATCAGATTTAGTTGTGCAATTAGCGACGTTGTTTCAAAAGTGATCATTCGCAAGGCCTCGGTTATTTCCGTATGCTTCGGGAAAACTAGAACCCCTTTCCCTGCGCGATGCGCAAACGTTTCTTATAGACAGAACTCAGTCATGTAAATGACGAATCAATGGCGTCTCCATCGCCCTCGTTGACAACGGACAAGCTAGCCATTAAATGTCTTGTGTGTCACATCAACACACGTTCCTGGCAGAGGAGGGATATTGGTGATCCAACATTTGCTTGTATTAGTCAAGTTGATGTAACACGTGTTCTGATTGGACAGAAAGAAGGGAGATAATTCGTGTTGCGATTTTTTTGCCGCTAGGGGATTTTACGAGAACCGGGAAATATGACCCTATTAGAACAGAGGTTCGTAGAAAGAAATGACAAGTAACCTCAGAGACAGGTCCACACACGGTACCCATGTGGGGAAGAGAACCCGGGTCAACCACCCAGCCACTAGGCTACTCTGCCGCCTCAGTAACAGAAGTAGTATACAAGTAAAATACGTTGACACATACCAGCTCTTATAGGGTGGTTGAACATCGTCAATGATTGAGATATGGGATGAAAGGAAACCATTGTTTCCAAATTTTCAACGTCATTGTTTCTTTTGGAAATATTTTTTTCTGCAAGAAAGATGATTTCTAAGGTTTTCAGGTAGTTAATTAATTTGGGAATTGTTGTTGGGTTTTTTATATTACATAAATAAATATGTCCCTTTGCAGAGAAAAGTATATGGTTTAGTAATTTGTTGGCTTGTGAAGTACCAAACCAAACCAGATATTTTGTTATTTTGATTTCTTTGTTGAGGTATATATTGATCCAGATCCCAAGCTCAATCCAAAATGTCTTGGTTGTCTTACAATTCCAGTATACATGACAGATTGTTTCCTGTAGGTCATTACAAAAACTGCACATGTCAGAATCTATTAGTTTCATTTTCAAAACCTCCCTTTTGGAATTAGTGAACAATTAGCAGGACTCTGTCCTCCCCCCCGTGCGAACCCCACTTGATCCCTCCCCAAACTTGCTTTTATACGGTGATATATAAGTAGCCTTGCTCCAAGGCTGTACTGAATGCTGAGCCCATAGATGAATAGTAATTATATCCTTCGAAGAGGCAAGTCTTGATAAGCGAAAGAACTACAGTCTGTTATTTTATTTTTTTTAGAAATTATCATTCAAACTATTAATTTTTACCTCAGAGACCTGTGCAAGTCTGATATATAAGGTGAAAAGACCATTCCAAAATGTGTAGGTAACTGTTGTAGATTCCCTTGACGAGGGTAGAAGTTATTTCTCTTACACGCTAGCAGCAAGGTTAGGGGTCAGTTTAGATCAGTTCATAGTCGGTGACAGAGGGACGATGTCCTAATTCCCACGTTTTAATATTTGCCATATCAACTAAATGGCACATCGGGGACAGCCTTCCCAAATGTCTGTTAAGGTGAGGTGAAATCTGATTTAACGTAGCGTTCTAGATTGTAGCTTCTAAATAGCAACATGCGTGCGTGCGCGTGTGTGTGTCAGGGTGTAGGTGTGGATGCTTGTATATATCTGAACTAGTGTTACCGAAATACCACGCCACAGTCTCAGCATGTACAGTCCTTGTTTTATCCCTTAATGCCAGCCAGGGCAACAACAAGTACGCATTTTGGTATGACGCAGCCCAAGAGGTAACTTTCGCTCTCCAGGACGCTTTATTAAGGCGTTTTGTCAGATTTAATGTGTTAATGATATTCACAAATGACAAATTTTGTGTTCACCACAATAGATGTATCTCATTTCAGGCCTTAATGTGAGTGTGTTGCTGAAAGTGTTTGCAAAATGCCGGACAATATGACTGTCAGTAACTCACCGTGCTCATCAAGCTTCAGGGGGCCCCGATCGTTGCAAAATTCTTGGAGTTCCTGTAAATATTCAAAGGGTGTTCGGTCACAACGCATTAACGTTAGATGCTCCACAGGAGGCAGTATTATTTGTGGCTATTTGCGACCTCCTTTCGCTTATAACAATACCATCAGTGAACACGTTAACACATATATAGTACATAGCTGGAGCTACGATATGAAGTCATTATTGGCAAAATTAAATATGGTTCTTTAACATACAAGGTTTTATGACAATGGAGAAAAATTGCTTAACCCCTAGGTACGTCTTGAAAGGGTGGAATGTCACAAATTACTTCCATCCAATTGAACACCCAAACATGGCTAATCTGGCACACTTTCAAAACCGGCATAAAATTTTCTTCCAGACATTTTACAACGATATTATGATCATTAAAACATCGTCTAATCCGGCACCTGTCTATTCCGTATTCTGACACGACTTTCCGGTCCCAACAAGCAATTTGACCTGTAATTAACACTATCTAAACCGGCATGGGTATGAGCAGTCCAATCAAGGACCCATAATCCAATTCACTAATTAATCAGTTTGTGTTGTGTCTGCAGCAGTTATTAGATCAACATGAGTTGAGTTATCTGTTCTTGTACTTGTACACACACACAAACCAAACCCTCAGTTCTGAGCAAAGGAAAATGTCCACGACATAGCTAACATTTTGAACTTTGAGCCCCAATGATAACCTGCGTATTATAGCAGGTAGATATTTTAATTTGTACGAGGTACAATCACAGTCATGCAACTGTGGAACCCTCAGTCATTAGGGCTATCGGGTACTTCGGCTCTCACCTTCAACAGCTGCAATATCTCGCCGCAGTCTTCCACTCGGGCATCTCTGATAAGGTAGTCAGCCATTTAACCGATCACACAATCTAACTGGGTCATGCACCTACCAGGTCGGGGGCAGGGAGCAACTCCGTGGCTCGGAGTAGAGAGGTGTACAGCCTTTCGTCCATAATCATGATAATGTATGTCACCTCACACCGCGTGCTACCTCCACACTGGGTTGCTACATGTCGTCAGCGGCAGAAACCTCTGGACCCTTCAAGTGATGACACTATGAAATGAAATAACCAGTCAATCGAAATAACTTTTCGCTTTACTGTGAAAAAGAAATGAAGATGGTGACGTCATTCACTGACTGAATGGGTCCAGAACACCTTTTATACTCCAGGGTGGGGTGGCAGATGAAATACACCATTCAAAGCCAGCTCTGACATACATGAGGTGAGCGGTGTTTCCAGTTCAGACATACATCAGTTGAGCGGGGTTTCCATTTCAGACATACATGGCGTGAGCGGGGTTTCCAGCTCTGACATACATGAGGTGAGCGGGGTTACCAGTTCAGACATACATGAGGTGAGCGGGGTTTCCATTTCAGACATACATGGCGTGAGCAGGGTTTCCAGCTCAGACATACATGAGTTGAGCGGGTTTCCAGCTCAGACATACATGAGTTGAGCGGGGTTTCCATTTCAGACATACATGGCGTGAGCGGGGTTTCCAGCTCTGACATACATGAGGTCAGCGGGGTTTCCATTTCAGACATACATGGCGTGAGCGGGGTTTCCAGCTCTGACATACATGAGGTGAGCGGGGTTTCCATTTCACATACATGAGGTGAGCGGGGTTTCCACTTCACACATACATGGGATCAGCGGGGTTTCAACTTCACACATACATGGGGTGAGCGGGGTTTCAACTTCACACATACATGTGGTGAGCGGGGTTTCCACTTCACACATACATGGGATGAGCGGGGTTTCAACTTCACACATACATGAGGTGAGCGAGGTTTCCATTTCAGACATACGTGAGGTGAGCGGGGATTCCATTTCAGACATACATGGGATGAGTGGGGATTCCAGCTCAGACATACATGAGGTGAGCGGTGTGCAGTTCACACACACATGGGGTGAGCGGGGTTTCCAGCTCAGACATACATGTGGTGAGCGGGGTTTCCATTTCAGACATACATGTGGTGAGCGGGGTTTCCAGCTCAGACATACATGGGATGAGCGGGGTTTCCATTTCAGACATACATGTGGTGAGCGGGGTTTCCAGCTCAGACATACATGGGATGAGCGGGGTTTCCATTTCAGACATACATGGGGTGAGTGGGGTTTCCAGCTCTGACATACATGAGGTGAGCGGGGTTTCCATTTCAGACATACATGGCGTGAGCGGGGTTTCCAGCTCTGACATACATGAGGTGAGCGGGTTTTCCATTTGAGGTGAGCGGGGTTTCCACTTCACACATACATGAGGTGAGCGGGGTTTCCATTTCACACATACATGTGGTGAGCGGGGTTTCCACTTCACACAAACATGGGGTGAACAGGGTTTCGACTTCAGACATGCATGAGGTGAGCGGGGTTTCAACTTCACTCATACATGGGGTGAGTGGGGATTCCAGCTCAGACATACATGAGGTGAGCGGGGTTTCCATTTCAGACATACATGTGGTGAGCGGGGTTTCCATTTCACACACATGGGGTGAGCGGGGTTTCCAGCTCAGACATACATGGGATGAGCGGGGTTTCCATTTCAGACATACATGGGGTGAGCGGGGTTTCCAGCTCTGACATACATGTGGTGAGCGGGGTTTCCATTTCAGACATACATGGCGTGAGCGGGGTTTCCAGCTCTGACATACATGAGGTGAGCGGGGTTTCCATTTCACTTACATGAGGTGAGCGGGGTTTCCACTTCACACATACATGGGATGAGCGGGGTTTCAACTTCACACATACATGAGGTGAGCGGGGTTTCCACTTCACACATACATGGGATGAGCGGGGTTTCAACTTCACACATACATGAGGTGACCGAGGTTTCCATTTCAGACATACGTGAGGTGAGCGGGGTTTCCATTTCAGACATACATGGGGTGAGTGGGGATTCCAGCTCAGACATACATGAGGTGAGCGGTGTGCAGTTCACACATACATGGGGTGAGCGGGGTTTCCAGCTCAGATATACATGAGGTGAGCGGGGTTTCCATTTCAGACATACATGTGGTGAGCGGGGTTTCCATTTCAGACAAACATGGGGTGAGCGGGGTTTCCAGCTCTGACATGCATGAGGTGAGCGGGGTTTCCATTTCAGACATACATGGCGTGAGCGGGGTTTCCAGCTCTGACATACATGAGGTGAGCGGGGTTTCCATTTCACATACATGAGGTGAGCGGGGTTTCCACTTCACACATACATGGGATGAGCGGGGTTTCAACTTCACACATACATGTGGTGAGCGGGGTTTCCACTTCACACAAACATGGGGTGAACAGGGTTTCGACTTCAGACATGCATGTGGTGAGCGGGGTTTCAACTTCACACATACATGGGGTGAGTGGGGATTCCAGCTCAAACATACATAGGGTGAGCGGGGTTTCCATTTCAGACATACATGGGGTGAGTGGGGATTCCAGCTCAGACATACATGTGGTGAGCGGGGTTTCCATTTCAGACATACATGTGGTGAGCGGGGTTTCCATTTCAGACATACATGGGATGAGTGGGGATTCCAGCTCAGACATACATGGGGTGAGCGGGGTTTCCATTTCACACATACATGGGGTGAGCGGGGTTTCCAGCTCAGATATACATGAGGTGAGCGGGGTTTCCATTTCAGACATACATGTGGTGAGCGGGGTTTCCATTTCAGACATACATGAGGGTGAGCGGGGTTTCCATTTCAGACATACATGTGGTGAGCGGGGTTTCCATTTCAGACATACATGTGGTGAGCGGGGTTTCCATTTCACACACACATGTGGTGAGTGGGGTTTCCATTTCAGACATACATGTGGTGAGCGGGGATTCCAGCTCAGACATACATGTGGTGAGCGGGGTTTCCATTTCAGACATACATGTGGTGAGCGGGGTTTCCATTTCAGACATACATGGGGTGAGTGGGGATTCCAGCTCAGACATACATGAGGTGAGCGGTGTGCAGTTCACACATACATGTGGTGAGCGGGGTTTCCACTTCACACAAACATGGGGTGAACAGGGTTTCGACTTCACACATACATGGGGTGAGCGGGGTTTCAACTTCACACATACATGAGGTGACCGAGGTTTCCATTTCAGACATACGTGAGGTGAGCGGGGTTTCCATTTCAGACATACATGGGGTGAGTGGGGATTCCAGCTCAGACATACATGAGGTGTGCGGTGCGCAGTTCACACATACATGGGGTGAGCGGGGTTTCCAGCTCAGATATACATGAGGTGAGCGGGGTTTCCATTTCAGACATACATGTGGTGAGCGGGGTTTCCATTTCCAGACAAACATGGGGTGAGGGGTTTCCAGCTCTGACATACATGAGGTGAGCAGGGTTTCCAGCCCAGACATACATGAGGTGAGCGGGGTTTCCATTTCAGACATACATGAGGTGAGCGGGGTTTCCAGCTCACACACACATGAGCGGGGTCAACTCACACACACATGTGGTGGGTTTCCACTTCACACATACATGGGGTGAACAGGGTTTCAACTTCACACACACATGGGGTGAGCGGGGCTCAACTTCACACATACATGTGGTGAGCGGGGTTTCCACTTCACACAAACATGGGGTGAACAGGGTTTCCACTTCAGACATACATGTGGTGAGCGGGGTTTCCATCTCACACATACATGGGGTGAGCGGGGTTTCCAGCTCAGACATACATGGGGTGAGATGGGGTTTCCATTTCAGACACACATGGGGTGAGCGGGGTTCCAGCTCAGACACACATGGGGTGAAAGGGTTTCCATTTCACACATACATGGGGTGAGCGGGGTTTCCAGCTCACACATACATGAGGTGAGCGGGGTTTCCATTTCCAGACATACATGGTGAGAGGGTTTCCATTTCACACATACATGAGGTGAGCGGGGTTTCCATTCCAGACATACATGTGGTGAGCGGGGTTTCCATTTCAGACATACATGTGGTGTGGGTTTCCATTCCACACACATACATGAGGTGAGCAGGGTTTCCATTTCAGACATACATGTGGTGAGCGGGGATTCCAGCTCAGACATACATGTGGTGAGCGGGGTTTCCATTTCAGACATACATGTGGTGAGCGGGGTTTCCATCTTCCAGACATACATGGGGTGAGGCGGGATTCCAGCCCAGACATACATGAGGTGAGCGGGGTTTCCAGTTCACACATACATGTGGTGAGCGGGGTTTCCACTTCACACAACATGGGGTGAACAGGGTTTCTGACTTCCACACATACATGGGGTGAGCGGGGTTTCCATCACACACACATGATACAGGGGTTTCCTGTTCAGACATACATGAGGTGAGTGGGGGACATTTCCATTTCAGACATACATGTGGTGAGCAGGGTTTCCATTTCAGACATACATGGGGTGAGCGGGGTTTCCATTTCAGACATACATGAGGTGAGCGGGGTTTCAGCTCACACATACATGAGGTGAGCGGGGTTTCCATTTCACACATACATGAGGTGAGCAGGGTTTCCATTTCAGACACACACATGAGGTGAGCGGGGTTTCCATTTCAGACACATACATGAGGTGAGCGGGGTTTCCATTTCACACATACATGAGGTGAGGTGAGCGGGGTTTCGACTTCCAGACATACATGAGGTGAGCGGGGTTTCCATTTCCACACATACATGGGGTGAGCAGGGTTTCCATTTCCAGACATACATGGGGTGAGCGGGGTTTCCACTTCAGACATACATGGGGTGAGTGGGGTTTCCAGCCCAGACATACATGAGGTGAGCGGGGTTTCCATTTCAGACATACATGTGGTGAGCGGGGTTTCCATTTCAGACATACATGAGGTGAGCGGGGTTTCCATTTCAGACATACATGGGGTGAGCGGGGTTTCCATTTCAGACATACATGAGGTGAGCGGGGTTTCCATTTCA